TCGAGGAACTACGTGAGACGGCCTTAGGGTGAAATGAAGCAGACACGACAGTTGGTACACTAGAAAATATTGTGAGTATCTTCCCAGATAAATATTATCATTACATTTTGAAATTGTTTAATCATGCTGTTTACAATAATACTTCTTTACAGGATGAACCAAACAACGATGCTGCAGTCGAAGCAATAGCAGTTAAAATTCCTACGCCGGTTGTACCCAAAAAAGTGAAGAAGCAAATAATTGTTGAGATGGATGAAGCCCTTCCGGAAGGTTTTAAGGAAACAACTGTCCTCGTGGAGGATGTTCCTGACGAGCTGAAGATTCAGAGGTGGTTATAGCGGCTGGAAATGTCCCTTACAACCCCTTGGAGAAGGTTGATGCTTCCAAATTAGAGCTCTTAACCAATGTCCTCCGCGGTCCGAATTTGTAAGTATCGTGCATTATCAAAATTATCCCTTAATTGATACATTGGTTTTCTATAACAACCAGTCATACTATAATATTGGATATACAGGAAGCACACTCTTTTCGGGTATCGCAAAGTGGACAACGAGTTTTTCTCCATGCTTATAGCACAAGGACAGTGGGTGGATAATATGGTAAGTTGAAATAGTACATTTGTGTACATTTTTTAAATATGCCTGAATTGTACGTACACTGACTGCCTATGCTATTATCATTTCAAGTCTTGGAAATGCTCGCAATCTTGATGTGGCACAAGAACGGTCAACAAATGATAGCAAACCGATGCGTTGTTTTGGACTCCTTCCTGCTTTATGAGCTTACTAAGCGTGCTGTCAGCTTCAGGAATTGTATAAATAAGCTTGGGTTCAAATGGGGCGACCGGCTATACGACATGGCCAATGGAATACACATACACCGTGAACCTAGTCTTAGGTGGTTCAAGGATGTCGACGTGGTATATGCTCCGATGAACTGGAAAGGTGATCATTGGGTTGGGTTGGCAATCCACCTCAGAGCCCGGAATATAGTTATCTATGACGCTCTCATAGAACACACGCGGGAGTCTGTTGCATGGTCAAAGATGCAGCCTGTCTGCGAGATGATGCCGTACCTAGTGAGAGCGATGTGCGCGGATGTATTGCCTGCGAAGTACTCAGTTGAACCTTTTGCCTATGAGAGAAATGTTATGGTCGCTCAAAACCCAAGTACAGGAGATTGCGGGCCTTACGCAATGAAGTTCTTGGAGTTGCTGGCGTTTGGTAACCCAATGTCAGACTTGGTGAATATTCAAGAAGCAGATATGGCCACCTACCGTCAGGTGTACGCAACAGAAATCTACGAGCACGGCAAGCGCGAGTGTGGTAATCGGCGTTTATTGTAATCATCCCTGGATGTTGAATTATTTTTATTTCCTAGTACTTATTTCCTTATTTCAACAACCTAATTAGAACAACGTAATTAATTATGGAGATCCTCAAAATATTTATGTAATCGTTATAACTATCTTCTCTAAACAATCTGCACATCGTACACTTATTCAAAAACCAACATGTGTACGTACATCTTATATAACGTACGTCTTTTACACAAAGTCGATTTTTCTCATAATAAGATATCTATTTCTTTACTTACATTGATTTGACAACCCTCCCTCACTGCATCATCACTTACGTAAGATTGCATTAACTACAACCATAACTTAACCAACTAACTTCATTGTTCTTTATTTAAGAGTAGGAATTGCATTGTTTTGAAACACCAAATTCCAAGAAATGTCTACACCAAATCTACCAGAAGATTTGCTAGCCAAGATAGCCAAAAAAATGGCTGACAAATGTTGGTGGTACCTCGGACCTCTGTTAAGATCAGGGCGTGGTGGAAGAAACATTGTCTACAGGCCGGATGTCTTGAAAGATGCTAATATTTATAGCATGTGCAGTGATCCCGATGACTTCCATGCGGCAGGTCATGATCCGAATGACATCAACGCTGAAGGTCGATATAGACCCTTTTTCAAAAGGTGTCTAGAGGCTGGTAACCCGATTGCTATTTACCATGAAGGACTGCGTCTAGTTACCCATGAGTCTGACATTAAGGGCGCCATTGTACTTTTACAGCGGAATGTACCAAGGCACGCCGATGCAACCCTGGCCTGCGCTATTCTGTGCATATGCGACGGGAATGCTCACATGGGTGGTGTGTACCTACGCCTGTTCGCAAACAACCATTACGCTTTGGAATCAGAAGAAACACGTGACATGTGTGAGGAACTCCTAGAAGAAATAAAAAATTATGGAATTAGGTTAAACAACACATACGGCGCAACCTTTTCGTACCCTGAGGAACGTGGTATTCAAACGCCTCCTTGCGCGATGCTGTGTTACATCAGATCTGGACCCTTCAAGAATGTGTGCAACGTATGTTACCTCTGGTGGTGTGCGAGAAGAATTAGTCAAATTCTCTAGGGATTTCTTACGTAATATTATCTGAATTTCTAAGTTTTTATGTTATAATATGTGGCATTTGCAATTGTACATAGGCTTATTAGTAATGAATATCTTTTTATCTACATCCTTGCTTGTTTCTCATATACTACTCAATCTTATGAATGGTTACAAATAATTGTAATATTTTATATTAAATTGAGAAACAAGTTTCTTAATGTTAGATAATGGTGCCTTGTCTACACAGGCTTACGAATTATCAGTAAATACATACTGACCTGATTTAGCCATTGATAATGACCTCTATCTTTTCAAAAAAAAAAAAAAAGAAACGCAAATTAATGTATATATATATGAACACATCCCTGTAATTAATGTACACTGTCTTTTGTCAGATAAAACGAAATTGCAAAAGAAAGAGATTTGGTTTTTAATGCGTTTTCCCCAGATTTAGCCATATACATGAACTCAATCTTTTCCCCTAATTCGGCGACAGACATCAACTCAAACTTTTAGTCAGAGAACGTAATAAGGGTAGACATACGTACACGGGTATACGTTACTGTGTACACGTATTTTAGTTGGTTTGAAACTAGAAATATGAGAAGCGACTTTCAAGATAGTAGTAAATGATGATGCAATGCTGATTGATTTGACCTGTAATAACCCATATCTACAAGTTTTGGAGTGGTTATTTAATGCATACTGTCAAGCTCTATTCATAGAATGACCTCTATCTTTTCGCATAAATCTCCTTACTTTACGTACACGGTTTGCAATTAATGTACACTTGCATTTGTCAGACAAGAGGAACTTTAAAATAATGACACTTTATTAATGCGTTCCCCCCCAAATGTAGCCATATACATGAACTCAATATTTAGGCCCTATATAAACGATATCACACACACTAATTTATTTGCTCACATTATTCTAAAACTTCCTTCTTTCATCAACTGCAAGATTATTTCTAAACCTCCTTTGTTAAAAACATGGCTTTCCCCGCAACCCCTCCAACCGAGATGTACCTTGCAATACAATTGCCAAACCCGATTTCCGTCCTCATCAACTATCTGCCCGTATCCCAGACTCCCATCGAGACCCTCCGCCACTTGGTCGAAGCAAGTGACGTAAACGCAATAGTGATGGACGACTTCATCACATGGCCTCACTTCGTGCAGCCGGAGTCTCCCTTCAGGGCCTACTTCAGCCTCTTGCTGGAAAGGGGTGCGATCCCGGCTATATACCTCGAAGGTGTCTGCCAGGCAAGCAGCTTCCTAACGGTGGCCCACGGCATTACACTACTCAACTCCGTCGCTCCATCCAACCCTCTCGCCTGCTTCGCGACCGGCTTATTCCTAACTTGTACTGGCAACCATGTCGACTTTCTTCCAGTCAGCGATATGTTCTGGGCGATGACACCCACATTAGCGGCAGCTCACGCAGTGGGGGAGATGGTGATGTATCACATAAGCCAGCTTCACACCGAAGGTCCTCGGCTCTGGCAACGTTCATGGAGGTATGTGCACACACCGGCATGTCTTGGCCTTTGCACGTACAGTTCCGGCTGCAGAGGGTGTTTCTTTTACTGGTACGCGAGGGAGATGTGTGTCTTCTATTAGATATGACTTTGATAATGACGGATGAGGCATACAATTTTCTGGCTCATGTGTATGCTTCGGGCTGTACTTTTTAGTTTATTGCTTCCGCATCTAATATATAGTTTGTATTTCTTGAATGTATGTCCTTCTTCGGGCACTTAATTATGAATGTATGAAGTTTTTGTTGTTTGAGGACAACAATTATGATATATGTATGTTTTCGTGTACGAACACGGGTTTCGTACAATTTGCTGATTGAAGAACCAAAAAGCTAGTAAAACGTACACTGGCAAATTAATTGTAATTGTAGACACTGTACGTATAAAATGTACGTACAATTACCCAATAGTTTATTATACAAATTCAAGTAATTAGAAAACGACAACAAGTTTATGTAGTTTTACAATACTTAATATAAATCTGGTCTTTAATAATAAGAAGACTGGAAAAACAAATCCCCCTATCTAAAAAACGACCTGCTTGATCTCTTCCACTTCCGGTGTGTCCGGATCGGCAAAGACCTTTGACACAGGACCATGACTCACAACCTTAGGATTAGCTCTGTCGGTTAAACGCCAGAAGACGAGTGCGACAACAACATTGCGCTGACCTAGACTCCGAAAGAAGGTTTGGAATTCCAACGCCTGTTCATTGTGTGCTTCGCATTCCAAAACTTCGTTGCTACATTAGATTAAAAGAAGAATCAAGTCAGCGTTTAGATTAAAAAGTGTAAGTGAATCAAATGTGAAAAGAACATTTACTATCTATCTTTGATCTTGAAAGGAAGCTTGAGACCGTAGAAGTCTCCGGTCAAGTGGCCAACCTCCAACAACGCTCCAATGACATCTACATCAAGGGCCAAAAAATAGAAACAAACTTCTAATTTCAAAAATGTGTAAATAAAACGTAACTTAAAAAACATCTCACCGACTAAAACTTTCTTATCAACTGTTTTCTCCAAAATGTAGTCGAATTGAGTGAAATCGTAAAACGATATTGGGTCCCTTCGTAAGGCGTTAGTAACGACGGTCTGATCCATAAACCATATGCCGTAGTCATGAGATGTTGCTCTCACTGGGTCAGCGACGTTACGGACCAAGAAATTGGTCACAATTTTCCACTCATTTTCTTTGATTCGGTCTATGTAAAAAGGAGCAAGGCGACGATCAATGGTGGCCTCGATACGGGAACGGGATCCCTACAGAATATGATATATAACAGATTTATATAGAATTGAACCTAACGTATGATAAAAAACACAAACACGGCATAGGGAAACTACCGAATTATCTGCCAAGATAAGGCCGAGTTCGAAGATGTTGGGCGCAACAAACTTCTTAAACACTCTCACGACAAATACACAAATTGTCCACCCAGTGATCTGAGGACACAATTCGGAGATGGTGTGATACCCGTCCATCACACGGTTAGCAAGAACAATCGAAAGACTTTGTGTTTGATTGATGTAACTGCCGAATGTGGAAGGGTTTTTGTTTGAAGGAACGTGGATAAAATTGAGGAGGAGATGTGGCTTAAATAAGGAAATTCTGTAACGGACGCGGTGGGTAGTGCGAAAGTGTTCCAACGGTTGAGATACAAATGTGTGTAACCGTTTGTAACCGTTTATTGCATGAAGATTATACGTACACAGACACAACAAACACGTACACTAACAAAAACGTACACTAACAAAAACGTACACTCAGAAAACGTACATAGTTATACGATGGCAAACATTAAACGTACGTACACCGTCACAACACTTTGGTACACACTGTCCACACATAAACGTACACTGTCTTCGCGGAGACATAAAGCTTATGAGGAGAACTAAATAGGATTTTTGCAAGTCTTCTTGTTATGACCTGCTTGTCTACATCGTGTGCACTGATTCGGAATAAGTCTTTTCTTTCTCTTTTTCTGAAATGACAACAACAATAAGTTAATAATCTACGTATCTTATACTCAAAACATAATGTTTGAAAAATCTGAAGGGGTTTGAATGATAGCACTTACCCGGTTTTCACCTCTAGATGGAAGCCGTTTGGTTGTTGGTCTTCCTGGTGGTCGTCTACAGTATGGAGGAATTAGTATCAAATCCGATATATGTTGTGGGATGACAACATCCTTCGGATCCGCGATAGGTATAATCGGTTCTTGAAAAGAATCAGAAAACGTTTGAAGTCCATACCACCATCCTACAACAACCTTCAGATCTATTCCAAACTCGATTGCAGCTGCTAGACCGTGTTCACATGGGATTCTCAACTTTGTGTACCTAAGACACGTACACGTACACTCGTCCAGAACGACATGAAAATGCTCACCTGACTTGCTTGTAACTTGATAACTCCACGGTCCAGACATCTTAACCGCTAATTTCCCTGACGCAGGCAAATCTTGGAGAAAACGCTCATCAACTTCAGGCGTCACTAAAGACTTACACCTAGCCACTTTTTGCCTCCTCGCTGCAAACCATCGCATTAGGACCTCTCGAATGAACTCTATCATGTACACAATCGGATATGATTTGGCTCTTGTTAAGACATTATTCATAGACTCCGAATTGTTGCTAGACATGATATTGTAGCGTTCCCCTTTACAGTGAGCTCTTGTCCAATGCTCAAATCCAATTTCCTCTAAGTAATTTGCGCATGCAGCACTCTTAGCCCTTAACTGTTCGAAGTATTTTTCAAAATCTCTCACTCTGTAAGCTTTAGCAGCGCTGAAGAATAATCCAGATACACCATACTTACCATAATGGGTGGAGATATTTTGCTCAAGGTGTACTGCACATGCACCATGATGAGCTTTCGGATAAACCACACTGAGGCCTTTATATATTGAAGAATGTCTGTCCGATACAATCATTAAATCTTCATTGTCTGGAACAATGTCAGCTAATTTATCAAAGAACCACACCCATGAAGCGTCAGTCTCACCATCCACAACACCAAACGCTATTGGAAATATTTGGAAGTTCCCGTCTTGGGCACATGCAATGAGGAGACATCCCTTGTAACGTCCTACAAGCTGCGTTCCATCTACGACAATTACCTTCCTCATATACTTCAGACCTTTTATAGAAGCCCCGAGAGATACAAAAACATACTTAAAGCGCTGCGTACCATCAGCTTCAGGTCTAGAGTGTAGGTGAGTTATCGTACCCGGATTAGCTAATTTAAGAAGATACAAATAGGTAGGCAAAAACCTGTAACTTTTTATATCATCCCCCCCTTACATTTTCCACTGCAACCTCTTTAGCTCTCCAAGCGGTAGAATATGAAATCCGAACATTGAGATCATTTAGGAGCAACTGTGGTAAATCGACAGCTCTCGGACCCCCTTGCGTAGAACTGTATCTGCTCTTCACTACCTCTCCGAGAAGCTTATAACTAGCATGTTTATTATAATTCTTACGAGTGTCGATGTCACACGTATGGGTGGTATCATACGATGTGATTTTGAAACATTCTGAATTCTTGACAACTTGAGCTGTCAAATGCCATGGACAAGTGTCATCAACGCAGACCATCTCCAATCTTGTAGGACATGACCTACGTTGCTTGTAGCAAAAGCATTGTTTGATTGCGAGATAAGACATTGTTTGTTATATGACTTTTCTGTTCTTAAAAACACTCCGACATACAAAGTCTCACCTGTCGTACTCAGTTCGACTTGTGTCTCATCATCTCGTAAATTGGCTAAATCATCGAATATCGGAGTAGTATCATTATCGAGAATCTCCAACTCGCCACCATGTAATGTAGAAAAGTCATTATACACTTCGTAAGCCTCAGCTGCGGTAACTAACCGATTATCATTCAGTGTCCTACTTGCGGAAGCTCCAATACCACGGTCGATAGTGACTTCGTATATACCATGAATATTGGTATCCGTGTTACCTTCGCAGCCTGTATCTTGTACACACTCTGTAGTGTACGTACATTGGTACAAACCATGTTGACACGTACGTCTTGGAGTCACCGTTGGTGTACGGTCACCCGAATGAGAAATGTTATCTCCGCCAGGTGCAGTAACTAGCTGATTATCATTCAGTGTCCCACTTGGGGAATCTCCAATACCACGGTCGATAACATCATCCCCAGAGACATCGTCTATACCATTAATATTGGTATCGGTGTTACCTTCGCAGCCTGTATCTTGTACACATTCTGTTGTGTACGTACATTGGTATAAACCATGTTGACACGTACGTCTTGGAGTCACCGTTGGTGTATGGTCAACCGAGTTATTTCCCCCACGTACACGATGACTTGTGTACGTACACTCTGCCAATAGACGACTGAATTCCCCTGGATGTTGAACCGTTTGTTGAGTGAGAATGACGTCCTCCTCAACATTCCCTATTCCATATTCTTCAATAATTAAATCGTTCCACTTGTTGTAATCGTAATCTTCGCCACTGCCTTCACTACCGTCTATAGTAGGATCGAGGGTACTTCCCCCCATAGATCCATCATCACCTTGATAATCATCATACCCAGCACCATCTTCGTTGTCCTCCTCCTCTTCTTCATCCTCATCTGTTTTATCGTCTTCAACGTCGTCTTGCTCATCTACGGCCTCATTATTTCCATCTACATTTGAAGCCGCTAGGATGGGATTTGGTGTCGTTGCACTCCCACACACACGGTAACTCTCACCATCGGTCCTAGGGACAGTATTCCCGAGTGCTTTGAAAGAGACAAACAAGGTGACACTAGGATCCCCACCACGAATCAAAAAGAATGTATCCAGGTTCATTTGATTGTCAATGTATACAGGAGGGCGTTTACTTTCTATCATCACTGACATCTTTCCCGGCATCCAGTAACTAATTATTAGATTGCATTCGGTGCACTTCAAACTGAAAACCTCGCATAATGTACGTACAAATTCCGTGTACGTCATGTTTTGCCTAACACGTACACAACGACCAAACCAGCCTTCCCATGGTTCAAATTTCCATTCTTCTTCTTTGCATTTCCACTCACCCACCATAGTAAATACGGGAATATCCATTACCAACCTGCATCATAAATTCAGCAGAACCCCATTAAATGCAAATGAAAGCATGATTATATCTACAAAAAACAAAAAGAATTCCCAACTACACACTTATAAACATAAATCTATCCTCATTTAGCAATTTCAACTAAAAAAAGTGGAAATAAAAATATTCTGGGTTTTTATATAAAAACAATGTTGATCTTAGCACACAATCAAGACCCTAGTGTGTTAAAACAAAAAACTTCTTAACCAATTTCATTACTTACACGTTCAATGCTTGTCTTGGCTCCAAACTTTGTAAATCAGGAAGATCAAACCGATGCAGAATCACATTCGTTCAGAAAAATTTGTTTGTTTGATGGATCATGTTTGTCTCTTACAACTATTCACACATATAAACTAATATTAGAAAAAGTAATGATGACTTTTGCATTAATTGTGACATGAGTCATGTCTAAACTTTTTGGGCATTAAATATTGATGTCTCATTGTGTTTTAATGTTATTAATCCCAACTTGTCACTGTACTCCCGCACAAATCAATTAAGAACGAAATATATTGCTTAACCGGAACAGTGTACGTAACTGAACCGCTTAACTGAACCGTACAGTGAACAGTACATCGGTCCGTTGGTAGGGGTAAAATGGTCAGATTTTGGCCAAAATGTCAAAACTTGAAAGCCCATTCTCAGTTTCAGAGCCGGACCGGAGGGCAAGCAAGTGAAGTCATCGCTTAGGGTCTCACATTATAAAATATTTTTTTTGGGAGAATTTTTTTTTTTACATTAACAAAAAGGCCTAAATTTTTAGTTTTGCGTAGGGTATCAAAGAAAATTTTGAAACTTTGGACCGGCTCTGCTCAATTTGCCAAAACTTGAAATTAAAACTCGGTCAACTGCCATAACATGCAATTTACCCAAAATAATAATCACGTTGACGATTCTGCTGCCTTCGTATCTCTCTCTCACGCGCGTTCCATAGAGCGCGTAGTTATATTCACGTAGAGTTACATTTTCACATATATTCTCCATGCATCAACAAAACCAAATTTTTAATGTTTCTTTTTGAAACAATACTAGTTTTTCATTCTTTCTAAACCAATAGTTTTCTTCTTTTATTTGAGATTTGACCGTCTCGCTTTTCTTTTCTTACAATTTTTTTTTTTTTTACAATTTTTTTTTTTTTTTTTTTTTTGTTAAATTTTTACAATTTTTGTCACGAAGTATCTATCTAATCGTCTCTCTAATTAGCTTCCAAAAAAAAAACTTCCTTTCACGTACTAAAACGTGACATTTAGTTCTCTAAATAAATGTCACACATACTACAAATATACCGAAATTCAAACTAGTGAAAGAGTTTTTTCATACTTTACATTGATGAAAATTATAAATACTCTAAATGGATATAATCAAATTAGATGATTCATTCTGTATATGAATATGAAATAAATTCTACAGCTGAT